CAAACTCACTGAAATCTGCCTGCCTATCCCCCCAAGTAGTGAGATTAAAGGCATGCCAACCACACCCAGCAAAGTTATCGTTTCTTAATTATGGAGTGTCCAGGTACCATGAGCAGAGACTGACTGCATTTTACTCAGCCTTCATTATTAAAGTTGCAATATTTGTTTTGGTTTTTTTTGGGGGGGGCAGTATTTTTGAGACAGGGTCTCCCTGTAGCTCCAACTGGCCTGGAACTCATTATGTAGACCAGGCTGGACTCCATCTCACAGAGATCCACCTGCCTCTGCCTCCCAAGTGCTGGGATTAAAGGTGTGTACCACCATGCCCAGCTTAAAGTTGCAATATTTGTAAATTTGCTTATTCACTAAAATTTATACTTTGCAAATCAATACTTGTGATACTTCTAGGTATTCCTAGACAAAAAGTGGCAAGAAATTTAAGTCACCTGATGCACACATTCCCAGCTGAGATCAAACAATATGATGCTCTTGTCCCAGTTTTCATACTGTAGTATCCCTAACCCAGGCATGATGCTGTGCACCTGTAATCAATCCACTTGGGAGGCTGAGGGAAAAGGATCAAGAGTTCAAACTCGCCGGGTATGGTAGCATACAACTTTAGTCCCAGCACTCAGGAGGCAGAGACAGGCAGAACTCTGAGTTCGAGACCAGCCTGGTCTACATATTGAGTTCCAAGCCAGCTGGGGCTATAAGGAGACTCTGTTTCAAAAAGGAAAGAAAGAAAAATTCAAACTCATCCTCAGCTATGTAATGAGTTCAAGGCTATCTTGGGCTACATGAGACCCTGTCTCAAAAAAAAAATGAACTCTTCTTTGTAAGTTATATTTAGTCTTTTTCTTACATTTTTCTGTTTTGTGTTGATTATCGTATTGTTTAAAATTGCTCCTGGGGCTGGAGAGATGACTCAGTGATTAAGAACACTGGTTGTTCTTGCAGAAGACCTGGGTTCTAATCCCAACACCCACATGGCAGCAAACAACTGTCCATAACTGGAGCTCCAGGGGATCCAACGGCCTCTTCGGTCCTCTCGGGCATTTCACAACATGGGTGCACTTACTTACATGCAGGCAATACACTCATACACATCAATACAATACAATACAATACAATACAATACAATACAATACAATACAATACAAAAAAATAAAATAAAAAAATATATAATAAATAAAACATTTTTTTAAATCGCTTCAAGCACATTACAAAAGCGCTATGCAGTGTTTCTAATACTGTTTCTCATCACTAGAAGACTAAGATGAACCTAATGGACAAAATATATGTGTTGGAAATTTTTAAAAAAAATTTATGTGTGTAAGTGTATTGTCTGCATGTATGTAAGTGCACCCATGTTGTGCAATATCCATGGACATCATAAGAGGGCGTAGGATCCCCTGGAACTAGAGTTATGGATAGTTATTAGCCACCATGTGGATACTGGCAACTGAATCTGGTTAAGACTGTGCTCTTAACCACTGAGCCATCTCTCTACCCCTTGGTTTTTTTTTTTAAATGTTTTTAAATTTCATTTTTATTATGTGTATGTGTGTATGCCTGCTTGTCCATATGTGCACCACAAGCATGCAGTGGCCACAAAAGCTGAAAGAGGGTGTCAGATCCCCTAGAACTGGAATTACAGGTAGTTGTGAACTACCTAAATGTGGATGCTGGGAATCTGAATCAAGGTCCTCTGTAAGAACAGCAAGTGCTTTTATCTGCTGAGCAATCTCTCCAGCCCCTCTTTTGTTTTTGGTTTTATTTTGTTTTTTTGAGACAGTGTCTCCCTGTGTAGCCCAAGTTGGCCTTCAAGTCTTGATCTTCCTGCCTCTGTGATCCAAATGTTGGAATTACAGATATGTAGCATACCCAGCAACTTTCTTTTCTTTCTCATAGGCAAATGTTCTACCACTGAACTATATCCCCAGCCCTAGATAAGCTTTATTTAGACAGGAAATTAGAGTGCTATTGATGTCATACATATGTGTATATACACATACATATATCTATGCTATGACATATATTAAATAGCATGTTTTTAAACTATGACAAGTAAAATAAGGTTATATAGGCCAGGCGTGGTGGTACATGCCTTTAATCCCAGCACTCAAGAGGCAGAGGCAGGAAGTTCTCTGTGAGTTCAAGGACAGCCTGAT